TTATCCTTCCTTTTAAAAATCTGCCGGTAGGGCTAGCGCTGATCATAAAGATGGTTACTTAATATAAGTTCGGGAGGTCGCAACACTTTTTACCTTAGCGGCTTTTTGGTGAGAGCTATTGCAGTTCCCCAAGGAACCTGAATAAATAATAATGTAAGGCAAGGTTAGGAAAGTACGCAGCGTGTGGGTGACGGTCACTCTCCCACCACTACCCACCAAGCCTAGGGGTTATGGAGCCAGATGAAATAGGAAATTACGTTCGGATGGCCAGCATAAGGCAAAGTAGTGGGCAATAAGTTCTGAATGTCCAGCCAGCGATTGTGACAGGTGCTATACTACCTTTGGTCAGCTAAGCTGCCAGTTTAATGTGATCTGGAAATGTGAAGGTGGTGGGTAAGTTACATATTCTCTGATGTCTGCAAGAATCTTAAGGTGTGCCTGCGCCCCACCGGTTCAATAGCCTTTCATTAATTCACTGCTCGCTTCTACCAAGTAATAAGTTCTCAATTAGCCAGCGCATAGCCGCTCCTTAGCCTATACTTTTAAGTGTTCAGATAATCTTACTTGCTGCAACGTCTTCAAAATTTGCTCATGTGGCAGTCTATCGCTCTCATTGACCGTCCCTGGCTCAATCTATTTTAGCCCTAGGCATTTAGCCTTCCGGCACGGCTGAATTATCTGCCCGCCGCTGCGCTTTAGCCTCTCATCATCTGCCGTCTTCAACAACCATGCTGTGGGCTTGCATCTCAAAAGGTCCGCTGTGTCTTCATCATTGAAACGTTGTTAGCTCACTACTAGCGAGCAATGATGTCTCGGGCGCAGCCTTTCCTTCCCAGGTGTTTAGGATCTAGTACTTGCTGCAACTCCTTAACTTACGCTGTTGCAAGTGTCCAGCTCTCTGTCTTCACTGCCTCAAACTACCTTTGTATCACCTGATGCTGCTGCCTATCTTGCAATGCAACCTTAAGTCTATCCCAGCAGTGGCTTTGCAGCCCCAATTTGGTTATAGCTGTGGTAGTTAGTTCTTTCACTTATCCTTTCTTCTCTTAGAATTGCCTGCTTATTGGACCCTGCCCGCTTCTCACGATAGCGAGCTGCTTCTGTTGTAAAAGTATTCCGTCACACCATTTAGCATTAATGTTGTCCATTTGAAGTAGCTTTTTAGAGTATAATACTACAATTGGGTACTTAACCTATGGAGGCCCTGCTGCCTCATCGTATTAGGCAACCGCTGGCCCGTTCATTTCCTTTGTAGCCACCTTAGGTGCCCTTTGTTTTGCCACATTCTACTGGTGGGCTTAATGTAGGTGGCAAAGGTGTCTATCTCTTTTTCTATTCTTAACCACAACTCGCAGCTTCTGCTTTAGTAGCCCTGACTAGCTAGCGATAGCGATACAATATTGACAAGTGGCACCTCTGCTCCCTCACTGCGCCTTGTTGGACTTGTTTCTTATATGGTTGCTTACAGCATCCACTGCCTATTAAGTGCCACAGGCCTCCGTTGCCTAACGGACTCATTGTTCAGTATTGCGGTTTCCACTTATTACTACGGGGCTGAATATATCAGGTTAGGCTCCTACTAGATTATTCCTCACTTATCATTACGTCTGCGCACCTTATTCACGCACCGATGCGTGGCACTTTTATCTATCCAGGTGCACTAAACAAGTTCACTCCGCGCTTGTGTCCTATCTTTCCGCTGCTTTAGCACAAACGTACTTAGTTTGATTTGCTCTCGCCGCTAGCTATTGATACGTGTTTATTTTGCGCCCGGTAAGAAATTACGCTGACGTGCAGCAGTCTATTCACTAATTAAGCGTCGCCAGTCTTGGAAACCCCATGTTGCTAGCCTCATACACATTAGTCTCATCACGGTAAAGGGATACTTCTTGAATTGCTTTCAGAAACAAGGCACTTGAACTGTACTTAGATAACAGCAATCTACTTAAGCAAGCTTTGCTTTTCGTGGCGTGCTCAAACGACAACTACAGCACATTAATTTTGTACATTTTATGGCAGTGAACCTCAACTCTAGAGGTGACACCGTAACTTTCACAATGCTTAGTTCCGCACCTGTTTTTGCCGTCTACGTTTGATTGTTCCTCTCTTTCTTATTCACTTGAGGTCGGGAAATATTTGGAGAACAGGTATTAGACTGGAGAATTAGGTTTTCGTCTGAGACGGGACGAACAAAAAGTACAAGGAATTACCTACGCCATAGGTGTACATCTAAACGATTCAGGTGCCCCCCTGTACGATCAATGTCCAGTATGAATATCTGGAGACGAAGTGCTTACCTTACTGTATAGCGGACAGAAGCAGAAAAGTCAGGCCTAAGGTACTTTAAAATTTGCGCTAACTTGCACCAATATGAATCCGACTCTTCTTGATTTTTCCATCCCTGACAGGCCTCATCGACTATGGTGAGCCCTGACTAAGCTACTTGACTGATCAACTTGGTCGGCCAAACGTAGTAACCGCAACTCCTTTGACTGCGAGTAACAGTGTGCAAAATCTGTCGATAAGATATTCCGCCAGTAGTAGGTTACCGTTAAATACGATCTACAGCAGCGTACCGGGTCGCGGCGAGTTTTCACGTGATAAGCAACAGGGCGGTAATGACACGCCACAGAATAAAACCGCAGCTCGCAACTACACGCCGGCAAGTTAAATAAAGCCATATTTCACTTTTTCCTTGATACCTACAAGTAAATGCTACTCTGTTTACACACTCTGTGACCACAACATTTATAGTGACTTTACCGTTACACTATGCACACCTGAACCCAAATTATTATCTCATAACTGACGTCCTGTCCGTCATGAGTATTTCTTCCATTTCTGCAGATTTTACAACTTCGGCTGCTGCCGATTACATGCACAGCAACGTGTCTGTTGCTTGTGAACTTAGGCACCGCCCGCTTTATTATGCCTCGATAATTTCGAAAATAAAGTTTTATTTATTTAGTTAGTAAGAGTGGTTGCAGCGCACGTTATGGTAGTTCAAAACCCCTGTCCACGTTGTTTCCATTTGTGATCGTTCTAGGTGTAACTCATGCTACGGCTGAACGCGTTAAGCATCGTACCAGTTTATTGGTCAGTGAAATAGTTCGGTTGAAAAAATGTACCGGCTTTGGAAGCAAATTTATCACTCATTTGCTAGATTGGGAACTCAAGCCTCTCATAATACGATTTTGGCCCACTTAAACTCTGTAAGTAGTGCTATAGGTTTGAACTGGAACTTCAACCAGGTCTGTTTAAACGCCATGCTCTAAGGGTTTGCTAAAGCATCGCCTTACAGGGCCATAATCTCCTTTATCGCTACTATCGATAAACCTCTCGGCCACATGGCCACAGCACCGTTACCAGCAAAGCTTCTGTTAGCAAAGTTCCTACGAAAATTTTTGGATTTATCTAAGCATCGCCTATAGAAAAGCAAAAGACTTGGAACCTATGATTGTGGAGCACGCGCAAACTTGAAGACCATCCCGTTGAACCATGCGGTACTTCTTTTGGATGAAAGGTACCTTCCGTTCAATTACAATTTTCTTCATATGTATGTGAGACCGGTTACGGAGTTGCGTTGTACGTGTTAGGCGAATGGGACAAAAGCACTTTTACTCCCGCTTTATTTAGTTGGATTCCAATGTTAATCCAAATCGTGACCCGTATATGTTAAGACAATATCTCTCTGTCACCGTACTTACTGTGGGAAGGCAGCTAATGCCGCCAAGGAAATGAGCCCCATGAAAAACAACGTTTATAATAGAATTGATAACAATGCTCCAGCTGCTTAATAGCATTAACTGAAAATTTCCAATCTAAGTTGCTAACCGAATTACCCATCCTCCTCCATGTCAATGGCGTTACGTTATATCAAACCAAAAGCCCAACTGATAAATCTCAAAGAATTCTTGCTGTTGCAATAGAAGGAGGCGGGCAGTTGGTTGCACGGTCCGCAATTTCTCGTTCGGAATAACTCCTTGTGGGCCAGAACTGCGCAAAACTTTCGTGAATTGCCGCCGGAATGGTTGCTATCTGATACTAGCTATAAAGTCCAAAAGGAACTTTAATGCATGTTCAACCTGGATTGCTTACAGGAGGACACGGTATCTCTATTCCTTAATTAGTTTGCTCATTTACACTGCTTTACTGTGTTATACAGGCGGTGACCATTTCATATATTTATATGGAGCGACCTTCGAA